TTAGATAATAGTTAACTCAAACACAAAAATTTAAATCATAAAGCCTTGAAAATCAATTTTCTTTTTGTGGTATTTGTGGAACATTTGAAAAATGTTGATAATCGTGGAACATTTGTGAAATTGTGATACTTTTGGAAACACAACTTAAAAAGTGTGGTATCCTAGGGAACTCTTCTTCATAAAATCCAAATCCATCTAAGTCAAAACCAACTATACTATCTTCCTTAATATCTTGTCTAAGCAGAGAGAAAACATTGAAAGACAGTAACTACTTCATAAATCCACTCTGTTTCGGGCACGCATTAGCGTAATCTCCTCCTGTAACTCAACTTTGAAATTCATCATGAGTTCTTCTGTAGAGCAAAAAAAAAAACAAAAAACGAAACTGATTTATGATTTCAGGAATTCAAATGCAAAAAGGCACATGAAGGTTAGATCAGAGTTTACCTGGATTTCATAGTCTTCAATAACCTATCAGCCATCATTTTATCCTGCTTTGGAGTTGGTGCTCACAAGACCATGTCAAGTTACAGAGTAGATAGGTAAATATTTTATTAGAGATCTTATATTGCTGTTTCTGGTTCAAGCTAACTTGTGGTTCTTATTTGTTTATCTTTCGGGTATGACTAGTATTTAAGATCTCTGTAAGACTCTTCTTACAGTTGAATGAAGAAAATAATTTTTCACAATTCTCTTTCCACTGTTAATCTAAAATGTGTATCTTTCACGGAAGAGAAATGTTTTAACCCCTCTCATTCTGTTGAGTCCTGCCCTCGTCATTTGACGTCTAGGGGTTTGAACCGAGGGCACAAGAAAACCAACCCTTTGTGTTACTACTAGACCACCAATATTTTTTAGTTTTTTTTTTATGAAACTTAAGTGGTTTATGTTGTTACTAGAAGAATCCTTTCTTGAGTGCAATATGTTCTTGTTTCCCTGTTCTGGCACAATAAACTTTGTTTAATCCATGAACCATTGGCCTCGTTTTTCTCCAACCGTATCCTCTGTTTCTGTTCAGTTCTTGTAGTGAACAAACAGAAGGTAGACAGGCTGTTTCATGAGCATCTTCAAATGCCTGAAAAACACTTTAATATACTTCTGAACAATCCATCTCGGTACAATATCTTTAATTCTTTATAACTGAGCTTAGAGACCCCAAACAATCCAATTAGACATAGGATTAATTATTAAAACAAATTTTAAAAGTTGTCAAATTACTAAAACAACTTTTAAATAAGGTTGAAACTTAACAAATGTCATAAAAGACATATAAAT